TGCAGGGATTATAGGTGTGCGACACTACATCCAGCTCTATTTGCTTATTTGAATCATTTTTAGCATTCTAATTTATCTATTGCTTTTGAATAGGTCTTGAAATTTTGTCAGCAGTGTCCTTAGGGTATTTTGTTATTTCATGTGGAAGGCAGAGACTCTGCAAGTATATAACCCCCGCCAACACACATAGCTTAAGCTGCCCCATCTTATATCTGTGTGCACCATGAACTCCCCATTGTGTAATTTTTGCTTTCAAACATCAGCTGGTTTGTAGAGCAGTCATAGGTGGGGTGCAGGGAGCCCTCCAAGCGCCAGTTTCCCACTTCCCTCACCTCCCTCCCAGTCTGTCCAGTAGACCATGAGACCCATAGCCCCAGTGGGAGTCACTGGCATGTCCTCTTGGTCACAGTGCAGGAATCTCTAGCCCCTGAGGGAAGTGTTGGGCTGTTTCCTCAGTGCTCCACTGGGTGGGACAGCTGCGGACGCTGCCCTGGGCTGGAGCTGCAGTGCAGTAGTTTTGTTCTGTGTTCACCCTTGGCAAAAAGCTGCCGGGCTGAGGTGGCCACGTACATGTTATTCAGCTGGTTTGGGAGCTTGTTTGTTGTGTTTCTTGCTCTTGGCCTTCCAGAAGTGGAAATCTGACCCCTCTTGGAAGTGAATCTAGGAGTGATTATTCAGAGAATGGCAGCACTGAGGAAGGTATTTGCCATGCTGTGTCAGTGAACAGACGTGAAGCTCTTTCTCAGGACTGACCACTGACACTGCACTGCAAGGTCCTGACCGCACCCTCGGGCTGGCTCCCTGTTCCCTGCTGACCTACTGGGTCCCTCTCAGTACACCCTGCAAGCCTCAAGACTCCCTTTTGCCCTAGTGCAGGCCTCCATGTTTGTACTATAGCCTTACTCACTCTGGGCTGCCCTGGAGCCTGGAGCCTTGGCCCAGTCATCCTTTGTCATGTGTGCAGGGAGAGCCAAGTATTTGTGTGAAGATGCAGAGAAATTCTGAGCTGGGAAAGAAGGAACCTGGTGCATTAGTGAGAATTGGCCTTGGTCCTAGCCAGGGAGCAGGAATATCAGGTCAGGGACCCTGTGAATGCCACACCATTCATGTCCACGTGCTGGACACACTCAGGTCCTGCTTCTCGAGTTGTTCACTTTCCAGTCTCCTGAATCTGTCACTCCAGTCTTCCATTCCTCTGGTGCTTCCCCATACCATTTTGCTATTACCTGTGGCCAACCGCAGTCTGAAAATACTAAGTGGGAAATTCCAGAAATACACACTTCCGGAGTTTCAGTTATAATGTTCCGCTCTGACCACTCCTCTGTATGGGATGTGCATCTTCCTGGCCCTCCTGGTTACCAGAACCACTGTCACAGCATCATGGACTGTTAGCAAACCCTCACTTCACTGTGACCCAGTGTAAGAGCGGTGATGCTAAGGCAGTACAGGGACAGGCATGGTCAGATGACCTGGATGATGACATCCAGACTGTGTGACTGCCCTGTGGGCAGAGGGAGCAATATTCTTACTCTAAACACCCATGATGGGGATAGCTATCTCATGTCTTCTTGTACTACCTCCTTCATGTAACAGAGGGTTTGTGGGGATGGTGAGGTGACAACAGCACCATTGTCAAGCTGTCCCCAGTCTGGAACATGGCCTGTCACCACTCTCCTCAAAGATTGGGTGCCCTGAAGGACTGAAACAGAGAAGAGTGTGCAGGGGGACCTGGGACTCCAGGAGGCACCTGTCTGGACACATAGGTGCAGAGGCCACTCCAGCTCCATGACAGCAGTGCCCAGGTGGGCACGGGCACTCTTCCCCACATAATTCTCAGGGAATGCGAGTCTTGTGTTATGTCCTGTGCCAAGAACTGGAAAATTACCAGGTGTGGTGGTACACACTTGTAATCCCAGGACTCAGCAGGATGAGGCAGGAGGATCCTTGCGAGTTTCAGGCCAGCCTGGACTACATAGTGAGTTCAAGGCCAGCCTGAACTATATGGCAAGACCTTGTCTCAAAAACCTGAAAAACCAAAACAAGACAAAACGAAAAACAGGGAGACACCACCACCACTTCAGATGGCCTGAGACCTGGCTCCTAAGGCAGGAACTGGCTCATTTTCTTTTATTCATGTACATGAATGTTCTATTATACTGCAGGAATATTTACATCTACATATATATTTTTCATATACACAGAGGATTCCAATTAAATGACACAAAACAGATTTTTGGTAATTATGAACATTTATTAGGCACCAAAAGTACACTGCAATGGCTGCTACAGAGAAAACGTAATTATTGGTAAGTTCCCTGCCACTAGTGGAACACAAGGTAGGCTATCAGCCCACTTCAACATTTCCTTAACTTAGAAATGGCTATTTTGGCAAATATGGATGAGGCAAAATGACCTAAACAGGTGCAGTGTTAAGGCTTTGAACATGACCCAAAGAAGAGTTCATCTGAACTTGTTTTTCCCAATGACTCAAGCTTGCTGAGGAAAAAGAGCACTTGGAAACCTGTAGAAGCAATGGGAGAGTTCAGACAGCTATGTAGGACTTTGCACAAAGCTGCTTGCTGCCTATACTCTTCAGCAAGGGAAGTCTGGGAAACGTAAACTGACCGGGTCTTGTCCTCCACTGCACTCTAAACTTCTCAGGGTCTTCCTCCTTCCACATGTGAGGGCTCTGTAGTGCCCACAACAGAAGAATGGACTGTATGCTTCTAATGGAGATGCCTATCATCTCAGGCCCCACAGCTGAGTTTCTGGGAAACATTAATGCATAGTAAAGAGCAGCTGTAGGGTGCCTCTGGCTAGAGTAGGGCCCGGCCACAAGTCACAAAAGCAAAAGTGGTTGTGCAGGTCATGCAGCCTCAGGAACAAGAGCACAGGCTGTACCTGCTTTTCTGTTCCACATTTCTGGTGTAGGCTTCACAAGAACTCAGCAGCCACACCCTGGCTACAGACTCTTTTCCCCTCAGATGCACAGGATTGTACTAATGAAGTTTTCCTTGCCAGTCACTGCTACCCGACGAAGGCACACCAAAGGACTTTGATTCTTATTGTCAATGCACAGACTGTTTTCAACTACTAAGCACATACATTCTCAAACTATACAGTGATTATTTTCAATCATTTATGTTGATTCTTTTAACCCTAAAGGAGCATTAAAATAAACTGTTTTTAAGTTATCTGAAAATCAAAACAATTTATTCTACAATGTGCATGATCAAGTATTCAGAATTCATGCATAAAAGTGTGTTAACAGAGCATCCTGAGATATTCTTGTTTTGTTTTGTTTTTGTACCAGGGATCCAACTTGGGTCCTTGTGCTTGCGAAGGCAGGCGGCAGAACCACTGAGCTAAATCCCCGTCCCTCTGAGATACTTTTTATGGTAAAACAGTATGTCAGAAAAATTTTAAAAAACCAATCATTTTCCTCTCAGAAATCTATTTGGCAATTTTCTTTTTACAATCTTTTTTTTTCTTTGGTACTGGGGATCAAAGTGCACCACTGAGCTAAATCCCCTGTGGCAATTTTCTTTTTAAATGATAACACAGCAGCAACAATGTTTAAGAAATGTTCCTAAAAGCTTTGTGTGACAAGTGTATCCAAAAAGACTAGCCCAGATACTTTAGGATAAAACTTTCTATAAAATAAGATAATCTGGACTAGGGTTTAGCTCAGTGGTGCCATGCCTGCCTTGTAAGTGCAAGGTCCTGAGTTCAATTTCTGTTACAAAAAAAAAAAAAAAAAAAAAAAAAAAAAAAAAAAAAAAAAAAAAAAAAAAAAAAAAAAAAAAAAAAAAAAAAAAAAAAAAAAAAAAAAAAAAAAAAAAAAAAAAAAGAGTAATCCACTAATTGTGACCTAAAATTGATATTAAAACCTCCTACTTGCAGTAAATGAAATCCAATTAACGATAAGATCTGAAAAGGAAAACCTGAAACACATATCAACACATTTTCTTCTGAGACTACAGGAATTACATTTTTCCCCCTTTAGTACCAGGGATTAAACTCAGGGCCTTGAGCTTGCCACGCAGGTGTGGTGCCACTGAGCTATATCCTCAGCCCTACAGGAATTAATTTCAATAGGCTTCTCAAAAAGGTGACAGTTTAATTAATTTATAGTAAATGAATTTGACTTTACTAATCTCAGTCAGTGTACTTCTTTGTATTCAGTATGTGAAACAGAATTCCTGAATAAGGTGTATTTTTTTCTAAGGCAAGGCAAGTCTGATTATATATAAAGCACAGATATTAGCAATTATAAAGGCAATACAACCAAGACATACAAATCCACTTTTTAAAGTGATACATTTCAAGCTATATAAAATTTAATTTTATGTCCCATTTAAAGACCACATATTCAACATTAAGATTAGAAGTATAGTTCCTGTATTAAAGTTAAAAAAATACTTCATTTTCCCAATAATGTAAAAGAATGCTGTATTCTTAGATACTTGGTATGTTTTGAACAAAATTGAAAAAGATAGACTATTACTTATCTACCATTACTGCATTCAGTAAAAGTTCACAAAGCGAACACAGTAAAAACTAAGCACAATAATTACTGCATTTAACAAAAAATAAAATTAAGTAATTCTGAATACACTTGATAGTGATGTGTATATTCATTTTATAACTACTAGTTGGATAAACTACTAGTGTATGATTTGTTTTACCCCTATATCTTCTCCAATAGCAATGAGGAATAATTTTCTTTAGAAAATAAAGTAAAATAATGTTTACACTTCAGAAAACATTTGAGCAAGGTAATGGCTGACTCTTTTTGTGGGAGGGGTACTAGGGATTGAACTCAGGGCCTTGTGCTTGTGAGGCAAGCACAGTGACACTGAGCTACATCCCCGGCCCTGACTTTTTGTGGTTTCTTTCTTTCTTTTTTTTTATGGTACTGGGGATTGAACTTGGGACCTTGCACTTGTGAGGCAGGTGGTGGCACCACTGAGCTAAATCCCCAGCCCCCATGACTCTTAATTTTGAAAAATTTTGGAGCTTTTTTATTTTCTTAATGAGAAAAAGGAGATTAAAAAAAACTATTCCTCACTCTCAACTGCTTTGAGATGCAGCTTTAAATAAGGGTGGCTCAAGGGAAGTAATGTTGGTAATCTTTGCATAGAAGAGAACAATAAAATAAAGAAGTTATTTCCTTCCTAAAGTCTCAGCTAATTTCTTAAGTCTTTTCTTCAGCTCCAATGGAAATTTCTCATAGCACTTCTTACAGACAGGCTTCATGTCAAATTCCACAAATTTATTCCTAAAAACAATAATTATAAAAGCAAAATCAGTGAAATGGTATTCAACACAAACATATAAATAAAATGAAGTAATTTTACTGAACCATGTGAACACACACACGCATGATGACATTTACATTTGTCTTAGTAAAAGGACTATAATTCTAACCTCAGTTCTAAAGAGGTAAATGTTACAAATTCATAGCATCAGTTGAAAAACTTGTCCATATAAATCATTCCTATACATCTCTTTGAGTAACACAGATGGAATATACAAACAGGAAATCGAATGTAAATGTAATTTAGGTAAGTAAAGTGAATTACATTTTAAAGTACCGTAAGAATACCTGAAAGAATTACCTAACTTAAAGTAAGGAATTATATTTTCTGTAATGTGAATGATGTATTTATTGGAGGCAAAATGATCTTAGTATTTGAAATTTAGGCAGTTAAAAGGTTTCATCTTTCCCAGTATAAAAGAGTTTTTCTTTTACTCCCTAAACACAAACAAAACAAAAATACATCTTAACATGTTCACAATGGAGCCATGATTTGCATGTCTCTCTGCCAAATGGCTCTGAACCACTGGTGGCACAGCTGCCTAATGGGACAGTCATGAGTGTAACATTGGAGTGTGTTAAACACTGCCCTGCCCCTCATGGTGCTGGGGTTCTACCCAGAGCGTGGCACACCAGGCAAATGCTCTATCACTAAGCTATACCCTCAGCCCGTATTACATCTTTTTAAAAATTATCTTAAATCATAAACCTTGACACAAATGTTGGTAAGGGAGATACAGGTATTTTACAACTGCTAGATATGTGCAGAACTTGATCCTTGTTTTAAAACTTCAGGAAAAACATATTATGAATTTATTTGTAAACAGTCCTGGACAGGACAACTTTTTTTTTTTTTTTTTTTTTTTTT